TAAGTTATTGGGAACTAAAAATCCTTTTTCCATTTTTCTCTATTCATCCTATTTCTCAATATATTAATGTTTGTACCGATTACCTTGCAATAGGCGCAATAACGAGCAAAAAGGGCATTTTCGCGCCAAAATCCTCTATGATACTTAGGTGTTATTAGGAACTTAGAACATTTTTCCATTTATTTTTCTATTCATCATATCTCTCGTATTAGTGTTTGTGTGAATAAGTGAATTGCCTTGCAAGTCCATATAGCAAGAGGAATGCTATTTTTCCTCGTAAAGAAGGCTTTTCGCGAGGCTAAAACGAATGTGCTTTCTTGATCCCCCCGCCCCCATTGTAGTTGTTTATTATTCCGAAAATATTCATTTGTTTCCTCCAAAGATCTTGAAAAGAAACAAGTAATAATAATCAAAATATTCATTCATTTGTAGCCTCTGTTTTAACGATTGAGTTTTAGCTAAAAACAGTAATGGGATCCTCAATAAAATCAACTATGTGAATAAAACTTACAGAGACTACTTGCATAACTGAGCATAAACAGAGTCTTACATTTATTCTTTGGTATTAAACTTATAAAAAATCTAACTAACTAACATAAATCATGGAATAAATCGACTAATCTTATGCATGTTAATTAAATCAGTTGACATTCACTAGAGGTAACAATACATTGGGATGTTCTAAGGTAAAGGGAATGAGTTTCGTGGTGAAACTGTCAGCTAGAAGAATGGCTTGAAACCGTTGACGACGACTCTGTCCCTCTTCTGAATCCTCTGAAATCTTCGCAGCACGTTTCTTCCGAGAAGCTATATATGATCTCCTCTCTCTCTCTCTCTCTCCTTCAACTTCGTCATAAGACTGACTATATGGGGCTTAGTCCAGGCCTGAGCTAAATTCAAGGCCCAACCGTTTGTTTTTCATTATATACAAGAAAAAACCGATTATATCCCAAACCAACGATGAAATTTAAGTACATATTTATTTATTAAACCCTAAAAACAACTCCATCAACAATATTTCTTTCTATGATAATTTAGAAGCATCAAATTTAGAACTGAAATTTTACAGTTTTGAAGTGTTGCATTGTTATCTATTTTGGCAGATCTCGTGGGAAGCCTCATCATACAAGGAGATCGAACGGTCGCCACACCGTTTCCATTACTGTCTCCGTCAAGCACTTCATGGTAAACCCTAATTGTTAATGGGCTTTGGGCTTAAATCCATAATTATGTAATAGGGTTTGGTTTTGTAATTGTATTTGGGCTTGTTGTTGGTTTGTAGTTAGATTTCAGATTCATTTGGGCCCATTATCTGTATTTTGGGTTAATTCGGTTAAAATAAACCGAAATAGAAAAGCATTCGGAACAAATTCTAAAGCAGATAACCGAACCGGTCTAATTCAGCAAGTTTTTTAGCTAACCGAAAAATTGAAAAACTGAATAAACCGAACCGATTAACTCGAGAAAACCGAACGCCTAATGCTAAACTGCTAATAAGAAGTTAAATGAAACGTCTTATGTACCCATCTGATATCTGATTCTAAGTAATGTATCTTATTCTTATTGACTTTTATCTTGATCTTAAATGAGACGTCTTATGTACCCATTTGATATTTGATTCTACGTAATGCATCTTGTTCTTATTGACTTTTATCTTGATTCCGTTTTCTGCAGCTATGGCTACTTGGAAGACTGAAACTCCTCATATCCTTCCGCCTTGTGCGTGCCAACAATGTGATGTGTGTTGGGCGGTGGCTTTGATACACCAATTTGAAGCCAACCTCAAACTGGCGGGAAAGCTTCGTCCGAATGAGCACTTCTCCATTCAATAGCTAATCAACATGCTGTCGAGACGTTACCGGGAGTACGAAGGTTCGATTTATGGTAGCTATTTCGCAAAATATTATCTCACCAAACGTGGCCCTGTTCTAGATTCTGTCTGTCCATTGACATATGCCCTTGACCGCCCAGGACAACAACACCGGAGGTAATTAAAATTCAATAGTATTATATTCATGTTTGTCTTCTTCAAAATATTAGAGAGAAAAAATATTTACTCTAATGTTTTTCACAGGGAGGAATATATCAACCCACTGCGGATGAGGTTGCAACTGCAAACCTATTGGGTTATGGCCACTTCCTCTTGATGCTTGGTCCGGTGACGATTGATGGCGTTCAATGCTGGGAATGCCAAGACTCGTTTGGTTCATGTTGGGGTAAAAACGGCGGACGTGTATACATTCGTCGTAAACTCGACTTGGTGCAAAGTTTGTTCATATGACGGTATGTTAACTCCTAAATATTTATTTCATTATCCATTACCGAAGTTGTAAAATATGAATGTTAATCTTATGTGTATGCATTTTTTTTTTGCAGGTTTGACTTTCTGTGATCCTTTGGCTTCTTTTGTTTGGGAGAGACTTAAAACTATACTGCTTATTGTTTTTAATTGACTAAAATCTTTCGTGGTAATTTAGTATTTATGGTCTCATTTAAAAAGAATATGTAATCTCCTCTGACCTTTTATCACATTAATGCTCTTTCGAGGAATTTATAATTTATTTTTTTGTAGTTTCATCATTCTTGATCTTTTTTAGGCTACGACAAAGAAATGCCATAAATTTCATTTAGCATCATCAGTGTACAAAAATAAAAAAACAAGTAAAAGAGCAATAAAAATCAAATCTATCTCCATAAACTAAAGAAAGTAATGAAATATCCCATTGTTTGGTATATTGCTCTTAATATGAATATTGAGCTTGGATTAATATTTTATTAAAATCTATACTAGTATTTTTGCAACACTTTGGTGACGGGTGGGTAAAAATGCTTCTGGATTAATCGGATATCCGACCCGTTTTTTAAAATCCTTCACAAAAAATTTGTTGGGTCGGGTTATATTAAACCCAACTCATACACCGGATATTCCATATTTAATAATTTAGATATTTAGAAGATTTGATTAAGATTTAGAATTATGATTCTCCTATCATCTTTGTTTGATTTGTTTTTAACTGTTTTGAATCATCATATAATACATAAAGTAAGAAAAAAAAATCAATTTTTTTTCTGCATATACTGTGATTCGAAATTTTAAAAACGGACATATATTATCTAATTGACGAAAATGTGTGTTCAACGTTCTACGTCGATTAAAATATTTAGACAATGATTCAGAATCATATCATTAATAAGATCAACATTAATAAAATAAAGGGAGACTCACAAAAATGCCCCTTTTTCAATACCCCTTTTCAAAAATGCCCCCTTTGGCTGTCCATTTTTAAAAATACCCCTTTTTATGTACAAAATGACTAAATTACCCTTCTTTTAATAAAATATATCACAAATATATAAGGAAATATAACAAAATTAGGTCTACAAAATACAAAATATTTTTTGGCGGGAAAATTGATCCCGCAATTTTTCCCGCCAAAACACTTGTAAAACCTTGTAAAAAACCTTTAAAATACCTTGTAAAATTTTCCCGTAAAATTTTTCCCGCCAAAAAATTTTCCCGCCAAAAAATTTTTTTTGCGGGAAAAGTGATTCCGCAATTTTTTTGGCGTTTTTCCCGCCAAAAATTTACAAGGTATTTTAAAGGTTTTTTACAAGGTATTTATAAGGTTTTACAATGTATTTTAAAAGGTTTTACAACGTATTTACAAGATATTATAAGATTTTACAAGCTATTTTATAAGGTTTTTACAAGTTATAAGGTTTTACAAGTTTTTTATAAGGTTTTACAAGTTATAAATACCTTATAAAACCTAATAAGTACCTTGTAAAACCTTTTAAAATACATTGTAAAACCTTACAAAACACTTGTAAAAAACCTTTAAAATACCTTGTAAATTTTTCTCGCCAAAAATTTTCCCGCCAAAAAAAAAAATTGCGGAATCACTTTTCCCGCAAAAAAAATTTTTTGGCGGGAAAATTTTTTGGCGGGAAAAATTTTACGGGAAAATTTTACAAGGTATTTTAAAGGTTTTTTACAAGTGTTTTGGCGGGAAAATTGCGGGATCACTTTTCCCGCCAAAAAATATTTTGTATTTTGTGGACCTAATTTTGTTTCAAATAAGGGTAAAATGGTCATTAAAAATTAAAAGAGGGCAAACTTAAAAATGGACTCTCAAAGGGGGCATTTTTGAAAAGGGGTATTGAAAAAGGGGCATTTTTAACAATTTCTCTAAAATAAATGAGTTTTTTGGCCAGACGAGTTTGGCGGGACGGGTTTTTGAATCAACAATAATAAAAAAATTAAAATATCATTAATCCGCCGCTTCAATACGGATTAAATCCTTATTTGTTTTTAATACCACCAATATTAGACATATTAAATCAGTCTCATTTAGAAAAGATTGTATAAAACCAAAAATTGTCTCGTGGTATAATGTTACTTAATAAAAATATTTATAAAACTTTAAATATCATTAACATGCCGGTTTAATACATATTAAATCTTCAGTTTATTAAAATATAAATTTCTTAGAGAATGATATGATTTGTAAACTTTTATATATAATAAATAATCACTAAATTTTAAAATAAAAACAAATCACGGGACGGGTTAAGAAATTACGGAACGAGTTATATTTCGGAAAGGATTTATATGGCGGACAAATTTGAATCAATATTTATATACCGCTTTAATACGGGTTAAATCCTCAGTTTATTAATATTTGTCTTGTGGACTCGTGGTATACCGTTACTTAATAACAATTGTAAACTATAATATAAATAAATATGTTATAAGAAGATATAATTTACAAAATATTTTTATACTAACTTTAAAATTAAATCATCCCGCGGTGTACCGCGGGTTAAAATCTAGTTTCATAATATAAAACAAGTTAAATCCATTTTAGTTATTCCGGTTAGGTTAATTTGGACCGTTGAAGAACCAAACCAAGAGAGAAAATAAACATGGTATAATGCAAATTTTATTAACCAATGATTTCCAAAGTAATTTCGTCGAACACCTGGTGCGCAACTTCACTATACTCTCAAGGGTTTAAGGATTCTTCGCGTCTAACAAAAAAGTGAAGAAGAAAAACCCAAATGTCTCTGCTTCGAATTTTGTCGACTCTTCTCAAAGGAGCTCACCGGAGTTCACGTTCCTTTTCTTCTTCCCGGAGTCCGATCTGCACCACTTTCGCTAATTCACTCTCCGGTAACTCTTTAGATCATTTTTCTGCAATAATTCGACTTGGATCTTAGAAGAGTCTTAAGAATTCACCGGTTCCATTTCAGGGACGCCACGGATTTCGTATCGGAATGATTATGGAGGACATAGAACGAATTTGAATCTCTTGGATCCTCGGCTTTGGATTATCTTTTCTGGTCAAGCTGGTGTGTATGTATTGCTCAATGTTGATGTCTTTGTGACGTTACGATTCTAATTTCTCACTCTTGTGTTCCTAGCAATCCTTGGGTTTTGTGGGAACACTGTATTGGCAGAGGATGAGTCTATGAAGTCGAAATCTGGAGATAATATGGATGAGAATGGAAATAGTGGGCTTGAAAGAATTGAGGACGGGTCGGTTGTATCGAATATACATACATCTAAGTGGAGAGTGTTTACTGATAGTGGAAGAGATTATTTCTTTCAGGTTGATGTTTGAGACAAATGAAGCTCAACTTTGAATTAGCTATAGTTTGTGTTGCTAGATGATTTGTTCTGTTTTTTATAGGGGAAACTGGAGCCAGCTGAGAGGCTTTTCGGTTCGGCGATACAGGAAGCTAAGGAAGGTTTTGGAGAGAAGGATCCACATGTTGCATCTGCATGCAACAATCTGGTTGGTCTCTGTGGGCTTTATTTAAATCTTATAGTTTCTATGATTAGTTCCTTAGATCATAGTGCTTGTTGCTTGTTCATTTCATATGAACAGTGTATCAGCATTCTCGTGTATGGTCCTCTAAGGATAAGTGTTTAACAGTTTTACTGTTTTCTGGCTGAGGAATATATATATCCTTGTTAATATACAAATTCTGTTGATATATCTTTTAGCACAATGGTTTCATGATCAATCTCCTTATGAGAAGTTTCATTCGTATTTGGGAGACCCATCTCTTCCCAAAAGTTTCCTTCTTACAGTTCTCTGCTTTTCAACACTTGTTATTTCTTGTTTTCTTAGACTAATTTCTCTATTTTTTTATTTCCTCTATGTAAGGCAGAGTTATATAGGGTCAAGAAAGAATTCGACAAAGCAGAGCCCTTATACCTGGAAGCTGTTAGTATCTTGGAGGATTTCTATGGTCCTGAAGACGTGCGGTGAGAAATCATCATCTTTTGTGCTGATACTCAAATAAATGATTGCCATTCGTTTGACCTTCAGCGCACATATTGTAAAGTCTTACTTTTGAGTTTTGATGCTACCTGACTAATACTATTATTTTGAAACTTTAAATATTTATAATCAGTCTCAAAGTTTAGCTGATCACATTTCTGGAAACCGGCTGAGTTTCTGGTACATTTTAGTTATATGCCCCTGTTAGATTGCTTACTTTTCCCTTTATGCTTCTCCCTGACATGAAAATTGAAAAATCCCTAAGTCTTTACATTCATTTTTTGTTTGGCCTTCTTACTGATCTTTATGAATCCCACTGGCTAGATTGAAAGTTATGCTACACCTAGAAATATCAGGAATTGTGTTATATTTTATATATTTTTAGTGACGGGTTTGACACCCTTATTGTTTATGTTCCTTCATTCATTCAACCATATTCTTAACAATGCAGTGTTGGTGCTACTCTCCACAACCTTGGACAACTCTATCTTGTCCAGCGAAAACTTGAGGAAGCTCGCACGTGCTATGAGGTAGTTACAATTAATGGTTTGCAAAACAAGGCATCAAATATGGATTGGTCATGAATCATCCCTTTCTAGGCTATCTGGATGGCTGTAGTGTTGGTATTGGAGACTAGGAGGTGTGTGTTTGCTGTTCTTTCGTGCATGATTTTTTTTGATGAATTGGAGCCATGAATGTTGCTGGCTATGTATACGCAATGAAGTTGTCATGATAAAAAGACATGTTACAAATCAAAGTCTAGATGCTAGAATCAGAAAATTGGTCCAAATTAAGTTTCAAAATAATTTCGTCTGTTTTACCTTTTCTTCTGGAAGGTGGATCCTAAATTAACCATGATTAAAATATCCACAGCAAATGTACTTTTCTGCTTGTTAATTCTTGTTGTTTGCCTGTTTTTATATTATCTTGATCTATTGATATACTGCCACCAAATTCGAATGATAAAACTTTACATTCTGTTATGCTAACAATTTATTCTTAATTTTCTTTTTGCTGATTGCTCCCTGTGCAGCGTGCTTTAAAGGTATGGATCCGATGTGGTGATTACTCTTTATTATTTTCAATTTACACTTAGCAATTGTTAGTATGTATTTCTCTTCTTATCGTTTCTTTTGATTCCCATCTAGTTGAAAGGACGAGTCCTGGGGTATAATCATCCGGATTATGCAGAGACAATGTATCATCTTGGAACGGTACTCTCATGTTCATTTTTTTTTATTTTGTTAATCTTCATGAGCCCTTTAAACTTTTACTGAATGGTACACTTCTTTTCTTAAGATTCTTGCATATTAGCTGCATATTGTCACCCTGAACTTTATAATAGCCTCTCGCCCAGTCAGACATGTGATAAAATCCATCTAATATGACACTTCCATGCTGTCATGAAGTCTGATTTGAATCTATCATTCCTTCTAACATATGATCCAATAATCGACAGGTATTACACATGCAAGGAAAAGATACAGATGCGGAAGCTCTTATTCTGGATTCTCTTAAAATACTTGAGGCATGTCGCTATCTTAATGATAACTAATATATGTGCCATCTTGACGTTTGATTTGTCAATTGGACGCTTCGTTATTGTATTTTTGGTTTTGTGATGTAGGAAGGTGGTCAAGGAGAGTCCATGACATATATCAGGAGACTGAGATATCTTTCTCAGGTTTTCTTGCCTTAAACTCCACTTGTAATTTGGATGTTGCCGTCTATTTTTACAATGCATTGATTTTAACACACTCACACAGAAATTGTTTGGTTATAGAACTCACAATTCTCAACATCTGTTGTTCTGAATTTCTCTTATTTTACATTCTCGTCTGTTGTTTCAGATATATATACGGTCCAATCGTCTGGCCGAGGCTGAAAAACTTCAAAGGAAATTATTGCACATGATGGAATTATCAAAGGTGTGATTTTGTCTTACTTATCTATCCTGAAGCTGTCTCTTTAAAGAATCTTTTTCAATGATTTAACATCTTACAATCCTTCTGTTTTGCTGCATCCTCTTTTCGTCCATGCAAATTCCAACTTTCTAATCTAGTACTGAAGGAAAATGTTCCAACTTCCTGATATTTGCATGGTGGAATGGGCAAGTTTAAATCTTTCAGATATAGTGCAGTTAGAGAGGTCTATAATTAGGAAGATAGTTTTTTACTTAAAACGAGCTTAGTTATGCTTTTGAACTGCTGATTACACATCATCAATCATAAGTTGAGGAGATCACTTACATAGATGTAGCTAGTAGCAATCCATTACTCGAAACTATGCTAAACAACATGGTATAAAATCTCTGATCATTTTTAGCTGTGTTTTTATGATTCTAGTTTATAGTTCTTAATGGCTAAAATCTATGACAGGGATGGAACTCAATGGAGGCAATAACTGCAGCTGAAGCATTAGCTCTCACTTTACGATTATCTGGGCAGCTGGGAGAAGCTCTAGAACTTTTTGAAAAGTGAGTTCATAAACTCTTGATTGAGTTATCAGAGTAATATGACAATTCTCAACTGTACATAACTAACTCTATGATGATTTTCCTGTTAGGTGTCTCAATGCCCAAAAAAAATTACTTCCAGAAGGACATATCCAGGTTCACTCTCCTGTGTAAAACATTCATCTATATATTGGAAATAAAGTGAGTATTCATCTTCTGTCCTCTCCGGGATTGATAGATAGGTGGAAACTTTCTGCACATCGCAAAGACATTTATGCTCCAGGCTAGTCAGATGAGAAGAACTGATAACAGTGAAGCTCTATCCAAACTAGAAAAAGCAAAGAATTATCTTGAAAACTCAGCTAGGTTGGTATCTCTATATTTCTGTACTAGCTCTCTTTTCTTAGCTTAAACTGATGGTTGATCTTTGATTTTTTTAATCTTCATGTATGCCAGGATAGCAAAAGACGTTCTGCATAAGCTTAAAAACCAAAAGAGCAAAGCGCAGAAACACGAAAAATCTAGTGCAACTCTTAGGAATTATGAACACGCGGCTTTAGTCATACTGGTAAGTCTGATAGAAGCAATACTTATATGTATATCTGTGTTTGAATTTTCTTAAGAACGATTCGTTTTGGACCTTTTCTATCTTGTTTGCAGCTGCAATCTCTTGAGAGTCTCGCAGCTTTGGAGGTGAGCAAAAATGAGATCCAGGAGCCAAAGGTTAGTCCTCCAACGCAAGAGTTCATTGCCGTCAAATGTAAATTTTATAGAGTTCTGCTCATATAGTTAGGTTCAATGTACTTGACTCGATGATGAACAGTGACTTGACTTCGTATTGATGCTTTACGCTAAAGAACAAACCTATGTAAACCTGTTGATTCTTGTCATTGCAGGAAGAAAATCTGCATGCAGCTGAAGATTCACTTCTCCAATGTGTTACAGCCTACAAAGAGGTAAACAATTGATAGCTTCTCCAAATATGAATATGGCTTATGAACCTAAAACCTTGAGATTAATCGAGAGAATCCCCAACAAAACTTTCGATGATCCACTATTTATAATAATCTTTCACTCTTAACTAACTAAAGAATACTTATTTATCGCAGCTTTCATTAGAATCTAGTATCTTCTGAAGTAACCTTTGTTATGTGCAGTTTGGTTATGGAACTCAGCTGCAAGATTCTTCTGAAGTAAAGTCCGGATACCTTTCGTGTCTTAAGCATCTCTCAGCTTTAGTAGCAAAGAAAGAGACGACGCTTAACTCAAAGGCAAGTCCTATATCTTTACCAGAGCTCAAGGAAGAAATTAGGCGTATTGAAATCGATCTTCGTTCACAAAAGACAGGCTAAAGCTTGTGAAGGAACGGTAGAATCTCTATCTATAGGGATCAAATTGTCGAATATTGATCATGTTTTCCTCTTGAGACTCTGAGAGAGCTGACCTTTTCTCACCGGAAATATTCACTCTGCTTTTGTGTGTTGGGTTACGGATTTAATTAGGAGTTCTTTATACAAGTTAACCTGAAAACAAGTACTACAATTTGTGGCAAATGACAATAAATAAAGTCAGTTATTTAAGAAAGTAACTATGTTATTTCATACACTACAAAACCCTCGATAACCAAAAATTTCAAACCGGGAAATGGAATTTACAAAATTGACAAATCAATTTTGAAAAACCAATAAAACCTCAAGCTGCCATCATCTATCAGACTATCAACCCTTAAACCCTTCTCCTCCAAGGTTTCTTTCATCTTTTACAAAATTGTATCAAATCAGAATCCACCAAAATTCATGTTATGACAAAAGCATACAAATTTACACACATACACATGTTTCCTCGTAGCCCCATTTGATCCCGAATGATCCCGAGATTATCTCATCCTTCTTTGCTCTCACTCGAAACACTCTTAAAGCTCTGCAAATCTGAGATTCATCTTAATCAAATCCATGCTCGAATCATCCGCAAAGGTCTTGAACAAGACCAGAATCTCATATCAATCTTTATCTCTTCGTCTTCTTCATCTCTTTCTTACTCTTCCTCTGTTTTTGAACGCGTTCCTTATCCTGGAACTTATCTCTGGAATCATTTGATTAAAGGGTACTCGAAAAAGTTTCTCTTTTTTGAAACTGTTTCGATTCTAATGCGTATGATGAGAACAGATTTTGCGAGACCTGATGAGTATACTTTTCCTTTGGTTATGAAAGTTTGTTCTAACAATGGAGAGTTTCGTGTTGGTTCAACGGTTCATGGGTTGGTTTTGAGAATTGGGTTTGGTAAAGATGTTGTTTTGGGTACAAGTTTTGTTGATTTTTATGGTAAATGTAAGGATTTGTGTAGTGCACGTAAGGTGTTTGGTGAAATGCCTGAGAGAAATGTTGTTTCTTGGACGGCTTTGATTGTTGCGTATGTGAAATCTGGGGAGTTGGAGGAAGCGAAGAGGATGTTTGATCTTATGCCTGAGCGTAATTTGGGATCTTGGAATGCTTTGGTTGATGGTTTGGTTAAATCTGGTGATTTGGTTAATGCTAGGAAATTGTTTGATGAAATGCCTAAGAGAGATATAATTTCGTATACTTGTATGATTGATGGATATGCTAAAGGTGGTGATATGGTTTCTGCGAGGGATTTGTTTGAGAAAGCGAGGGGTGTTGATGTTAGGGCATGGTCAGCTTTGATATTGGGGTATGCACAGAACGGTCAGCCGAATGAGGCCTTTAAGGTTTTTAGCGAAATGTGTGCGAAGAATGTTAAACCTGATGAGTTTATAATGGTGGGTTTGATGTCAGCTTGTTCTCAGATGGGTTGTTTTGAATTATGTGAAAAGGTTGATTCTTATTTGCACCAAAGCATGAATAAATTTTCTAGTCATTATGTTATACCTGCTTTGATAGATATGAATGCCAAGTGTGGCCACATGGACAGAGCAGCTAAGTTGTTTGAAGAGATGCCTCAGCGAGATCTTGTTTCATATTGTTCGATGATGGAAGGAATGGCTATCCACGGGTGTGGAAGTGAAGCTGTTCGACTGTTTGAGAAAATGGTAGACGAAGGTATTGTACCCGATGAAGTTGCATTCACAGTAATATTGAAAGTTTGTAGCCAGTCCAGGCTTGTTGAGGAGGGCTTAAGGTATTTCGAGTTAATGCGAAAGGAGTATTCAATTTTGGCATCTCCTGATCATTATTCATGCATTGTGAATCTTCTTAGTCGGACAGGAAAGCTTAAAGAGGCTTATGAGCTTATCAAATCCATGCCCTTTGAAGCTCATGCTAGTGCTTGGGGTTCGCTTTTGGGTGGTTGTAGTCTACATGGGAATACTGAGATTGCAGAGGTAGTTGCAAGGCAACTCTTTGAGCTTGAACCACAAAGTGCCGGTAGTTACGTGATTCTGTCAAATATATATGCAGCTTTAGACCGGTGGGCGGATGTTGCTCATCTTAGGGACAAAATGAACGAGAATGGTATTAAAAAGATTTGTGGCCGAAGTTGGATAAGTCGATAAGAACTTGTCAGTTGTCTTCTAACCGTGTCAACAATGGAAGACTTAGCTTAACCTAACAAGACGTTGAGGCAAAAAAGCACCTAAACAGAACCAGCCTGAAACATCATGGCGACCAAAGTTTTTTATCACCTTGCTCGACCTGTACATAGCTTGGGAGATTGGATAAGGTCTGCATTTATGGTTTGTATGTCTCAGAGATCTCATTGCTTCGTCTTGTTTGTCGTTTCGATTGTATCAAAATGTTAAGGTGTTTTCTGTACTGAACATGTAGGTTAAAGCAGATTTCAGAGGAGAGAGGGCTGTTGGCAAAATTCATAAGAGAAAGGTCTGTTATATACTAATGTGTTCGCTTATAATCTACCTTCAAAGATTAAATAGTTTGGTTATGATATATCTGCGTACCCGACTCTGTTTTTTCGTTGTCGATTACTGCGCTATAAACTGGCTTATAGGATCAATATATGTAAATTACCTTCAAACTATATAAAACTTAAACAATAATAATATAGAACATTACAAAAATTATTCAAAACTAAAAATTATTTGGGAGTTTATCTGCTCTTATCTCTCTGCTCATTTGACATATTTCAATCTCTTTGGGACAACATATATTGGACTCGATGATTCACAAAATCTCTCTTCAAAGCTCTTCGAAGCTGTATGTTGAGCCACCATCATCGTCATCGTCATCCTCTTCATAATCTTCATCATCATCGTCTTCATAATCATCATCAAAATCATATTCAGCTTCGTCTTCATCATCGTCATCAAAATCAATTTCATCATAATCTTCATCTTCATAATATTCATCGTCATCATTGTCCTCCTCCTCATCATCATCAAAATCATATTCAGCTTCATTTTCATCGTCATCATTGTCATCCTCCTCATCATTATCATCAAAATCAAATTCAGCTTCATCTTCATCATCGCCCATAAGCGGGCAACCGGAAGGACATTGGTACTTAGTCCATTCGTGCCCACATCTGTAGCAAAACTCATATCTACATCTACACAATGAACGCACAGACGTTGTGAAATAAAACTATTCAGTAGCTTAATCGAATTCAATATATTTACCTGCAGGTAATGTGGTTGCAACCATCAGAAAGTTCAATCATGTGCTTACACTCAGTACATTGACGCCACATTTGATCGTTTGCCAGACACTTAAACTCCATGTCATCAAATAGAGGTTCAGGGTGAAGTCTCTTGTACTCAGCACAGGACAAATCAGAATGCGATGGTACTTTGCAGTCAATGCAGAAGAGTCCATAGCATTTGATACATGCCCGAACATTGGATTGTTCGGCTTCACTTGAAAGCTCGGTTTTGGACATCAACACTGAGCAGCGTGGATATGGGCAATAGATCTTCTCTGCATCGGGAATTAAGTCTTCTTCCATCTTACGTTTCCACATCTCAATCAGCTTTGGTGTCAAAACCTGGCTACAACTTTCAAGAGTGAGCTCAGATTTGCATCCAGATTCAAGGCATGTGGGCACTGTTCCGCTAAGCAGCTTCACTTCCACATGCTTATTCACGCAAGAAAAGCAATGACGGTGAAGGCATTTGTCGGTAAAGAACATGTGCTCAGCATCGGTTTCTTCAATGCAAATGGCACAAGTTTTTTCTCTATCATCACTGCTACTGCTGCTTTCAGAAACTAGTGCGTCTATTGCAAGTCTAAGAGCAAAGTTAACATCATCTCGCGCAACCAAAACAGTTCCAGTAGAAGCTAGTTTCCCTCTAAGGCGTTGGACTTCTTCCAAAAGATGGACAATCTTCTGCTGAGGCTTCTCTCTACCGATTATCTGCAGTCAAAGTTCAGAGTCAAGCCAACCATTAGTTAAAGCGAGAGGGCTTATTCTATTTCTCATTACGATCAATTGTTTGGGACTAACAACTTCCAAGTAACACTACCAATTTCCAAATGCAATTACTAAGAATAAAAATAATGACACCAATTGGCATTTGACGACATAAAAAATAGTGGTGGCCAAGGGTTTCGAGGTGATTGGGAAGTTATTGGTACAAAAAATGGTAAAAAATCCAATGAGATTTCAAATACTAGAAAAAAATTCAATATCTAAATAACAAACGAGGCCATTTCTATTTTGCACCACATCATTATTACTATCACAACATGTACTACTCAAATAAGTTTAAGTAGCACCACTTATTTTATTAAAATTAACCAAAGAAATATCAAAGAAAATAAAAACTTACGATTTGGTAAATTTGACCGTCATCACAACAAATCATGACATTTTTTACCCCACGACGAATTGATTCATCTAATCCAGTAATCAGTGCAAGAAAATCTGCTTCTTCGCGGTTATTCACGGAGTCATTAAGTGATTTACCTATGCCATGGAATAAGTTATCCGCCTCGTCGCATATCGCGACCCCAAATCCAACCTTCACAATCATTTTCATGTTTGTCGACGTTTCATCACTCACCAAACCCTTGAAGTATAATTTGTAGACTATATTATCCGCACATTTTGTTTTCTGAAAGCTGGATTGGACACCCATAGAACCTCGCTCACCTATGAGATTTTGGATATCTTCGGTTACAGCATAATTTATCCGACGTTTTTTAGAAATAGAGTTTATATCATGTTTATCCATGACTGTTTAGTACCCAAATTTTTCCGAGAAAGATCGACTTTATATGTAGAGGACGAGAGAGGGATTGATAAATGGTAAGATAAACTTTCACTAACTGCAATTAATAATCTTTTTAGAAAAGGTTTAAACTACAGGGTTATTTGCGTGTTAATTGTGACTGTTCATAAATGTTATATCTTTGACTGGATTTTTACCAAATACGACTCTTAGGACTTTTTTATTTCTAAAGTACTAAAACTCGAACTATCTAACTTTCTTTTTGTTCATATCATCTTTCTTTATATCCAACAAAATAAGTATTTAAATTTTTAAGTCATACCTATTATTGTAAAGTTTAATTATCTACAACAATTTTTAATGTAAACCCCTAAATTTAAAGTATTTAGCAATCAATTCAAAAAAAAATTGTAATGATTTTAAGAATATAACAAGAAAAAAACAAAGGAAAATAAAGCATCTTAGAAAATAAAAAGTTCAAAAAAATTGATTGGGTGAAAAAGGCTATCAAGCCGCACAACTAAATACAATCCCACAATTTACACACCAATCAACTCCTATTTTTTTTTAAAAAAAACACTATACAAAGAAAAGTTTGATTTAATAAATAAATTCATTGGAAACACACTCTCTAGGGAAAACTTGATTTCTTAATACAACTCCAAATACATTTATTTCACATATCTTAACATAAATAGAAATTGTCCGGACGGTAAATTTGGATCATTCTTGTCGGTTGAATTTGTTTGTCATTGTGGAATTTCGTTTGCTGGAAACAGCTAAAGCGCACAAGGTGTAATTATCGTCTACTGGGGAGCGAACATGTGCGTTATATTTTTGGATCATCTGCGTGTCATCGTACTAGTTACTTCCGAGCTTCCAAACGATACATACATTATTAACATGGTCAAGAGACCCTCGAGAATACAAAATAGGGTGTGTCTTCCCGAGGACTCTTTGACGCTCAAGTTAATAATAGAAACATGATTGGAAGAAGAGCATCTTGCCGAGATATTAGTGATAATCAAGTTTTGGCTCTTAGCCAGAAGCGGCCCAAAACCAAATCGGACATTTTACGGAAAAGGTTTCGAAGGAAGATGTCCTTTTGATATAAGGATGGAAAAATTCTCTGTCATTCATGTAACGCTCAACCTACCACCTTTCATAGTCCCCACGCCCTCTCTTGGCCCGTGGGCCCATTTTTTCCCGACAGCCAGTTATTTACTTCCATAGCTTTAAAGACTCATTTACCGATCTTACAAAACACCTATGATCTTTTTCTATGTTTTTTTCTCACTCACACGGTATCGACAATCACTTCTTGGTAGGTCACCCATCCTGAAATCGCTCTAGCACAACCTTAACTGTAGAGTTCTCTCATGGTGGTTGACCGGAAAGATAAGTGCTCTTTTATGTCCAAATCAATATTTTTAAGCTTTTCTCATATACCACCATATTTTTTGAAATCTTGGTGTTACAATCACCCTAACTAATAGATCGTGACGTCCTCGTTGCATATTAAGACCATCACTCTGAAAGTCTGAGTCCTCTTGATTCCACACTCGTTTGGGTTCGGCTCTTATACCACATTTCAGTCAGTCCTATATCGACCCGTGGGCTTATCCTTGTCAGACGGCCGGTTCATTACTTTCAGAGGGTTTAAAGAGTTGTTTACTGATCTTTCAAATCATCAAGTGATATTTTCCTGTGTTTTGTGATTTCTCGAGTAATTAACTCAATACACTTAACCGTTAGGCAGTATATTCGAGGTCGATCCACAGGGACCAAAGATACTTTAAGGATTTTCGAGACTCGTTCTTAGCTAAAACTAAAAAGATTGTTTGTTTGGTTTTCCAAATTGTAAAATAAAAATGCAACAAATTTAAACGATTAAACTTATGAATTAAAGACATTAGGCCATAGGGTATTTCAGATATCAATAAACAATGGACACATGAGACAAGGAATTCAACAATTAAGTACCGTTCTTGAACATGAACACAACTAGACTAATTCTCTTTCAAGATATTAATCACTAAATTTGACTACTCGATTACTAGACTTTCGCATGTAATTTCCTAGTCAAATTCGCATTATCAAACAAGTTCATTTAGTTCACAATGCGTCCTAACTTCAACTTTCATTGGCTAGAAATACATTGCTTAATTCACATTGGTTCAGGCATTCTATCGAACACTTTTGATCCATAGAATAACCTAGAATCTACAGCAGGGTGATCAATCATATTCTAGCATTAAGAACATCTGAATCAAAGAACCTAAATAATAAGAACTACCAAAAAAAAAAGAACCTAAATAATAAGAACTCCTAATAACAATCAATCCATCAATCCATTGAATCTCCTAATTAGAACCCTAAAACCCAATTAGAGAACTACTCACACAAAGCAACAGAAACAAGACAAATAGATGAAGAAGACATAATTGAATTGCAATGAAAATAAGAAACAGGGTTTAGAAATCTTCTCCAAATTGTCAAAGAGGATGAATCTCTAATCGTTGCTTACAAGAGAAAAATCTCAGAAAAATTGCAAAAAAACAACGTGAAAACAAAATTAGGTTTCTGGGGTTTTTATACCCAATTACACAAAAAAGAAGACAAATCCGGTTAAGGAAAACCGGCTCGGGTCGTCAAGAGGGTGGATCGATCGATCCCCACCTGAGATCGATCGATCCCCACCTGAGATCGATCGATCAGAGTTGCTGAATCGATTGGTCTGACGGACAAGGGTTGGATCGATCGATCCCCACTTGGGATCGATCGATCCCCAGCTGCTGACTCCGGTTTTCAATTTCCGCGATCGTTTCTGGTCCAAATGAGCTCTGCCACAGCGTGCTGATTGTCTCGCTAAAAAACAAAAGCTCGAGATTTTATCTTTTTCATGTAAGCTCATCAATATCATACTGATTTTTCCTAGCAGAAAATTGCCCGTTTCTAGCTACATGTTCACCGATATGATTTTGGGAGGTGCTAGACTGAATAACCATGTAGTTATATCGTGGGATTCAAATAGCCATCTGAACTAGCACCCTATATGACAATTATTGAATTAAAGAAATAACTTTAGTCTGGTCTCTAAAAACCCTCTTTCTCTTCTTGTTTTCAATATAAATCATGTTATTTTTATTATACTTTATATACTATTTATCTCAATTATTCATATCACCTTTATAGTGTTTAATCGGTTCAATACACCAATATTCTCTTTCTTTCTACAATAGCCTCGCATGTTCCCACAACTATGCTTTTCCAATGCATCATCCCAATTTTTTCATGCTTTTAATTAAAGGGGTTGTTATCGTGGATCAGGATTACAAGATGATGCAAAGTTGAGTCGTTCCGGTAAAAATTCAAGTTAAAATAAGACCAAGTCGTAGAACAATACAAATCAAGATAATACATTTTTTTTGTTCCAATCAATATTTTGGGTTTCACAATTTTTTTTGTTCCAATCAAATTTTTGAGTTGAATTCCTCTTCAACGCAACATTCTACGTACGTACATATAAAATGGGAATATATAGGTAAATGTAGAGTGTGCGTCCAACTACAAAGATACAACACTTTTTCTACGGAATAATTGTTGTATCCACCAATGGACCCAAAAGCAAGAGCAACAACTACTACTAATAATTCTCATTTTTATCAATCATTTTCTCATATGTGTATTTATTATATTTTGTTTTGGTTACACGCGTATTTATTTATTTATGATTCATTATATTGTTCTTTTTCCTAGTCTTTCCCTCTATTAACGTGTCCCCTCCAAATTCCACAAACCAAAAAAAGATTATAATCAATGAACTATATGCTTCCGTTCGCCAACTACTACATTTCAACACCAATTATGTCCGAGAAGAAAAACTTCACCAGAAGCAGTAACAATAGGAGAAAGAAGAGATGGACACCGACACTCTTCACCGGAGGCGGAGGAGAAGGAAGAGGAGGAGATGATGAGCTGGCGACAGTGAAAGCTGCTGCGTGGGCTTGGTACCAAAGACACGAAGGAAAACCGATGATGAGAGAGTTTGATCTCACTACAAGAGCCACAAGAACACCTCGACCTTCCCGGTATAAGCTCGAGGCCAGCAAGAACTTGACCCTCTCCGAGAAGAAGGTTTCAAAACCACACTCTAATCATTTGATGCGTGGAGATCAAAAAACCAAGTTCTCTAGTCTTCTTGACCCTTATGAGATCAAGAGCATCTCTAAGAGAATTGACGAGGGTTCGTTACCAACTAGCGTTTTCCGATATGATCATGGTCATCATTATGATCATGATATGTTGCAGAAGAAGCTTGAATATGATAGTAAGAAAGAGAATGGGTTGGTGAAAAAAATGAGCATTAGAAATTTGTGGAAAGGAATGATTCTGATGGCTCCAAGGACGGTTTGTGGAAGAAGTGATGATGTGGATCTTGGGGCATATCGGGTTGGTCCAAGAACAGAGAAGGTTGCACCGACGAGTGTCAATATGCGAACCGGCCGTCGCTAACTCTATAGTCTCTACTCTCTAGTTATTGAGGAGCTAAAGTATGTGTTTAGACATTATTACTGCTAAAAGACTTCTTTTCTATAACATTAAAGGATTTTAACAAGTTTGTGTATATTAATTTAAGTTTATTGCTCATTCTAACCAAATGTGGAAATATGCAGTTATGCAGTCCTACATGATAATTATACTGGTGGTGTCGAATCTCGCACAATGGGCATGATTTATTTCATCGTAAACCCATCATATCACGGGCCCAAGAAAACTTCATATGTTTGGCTTGTTAGGTCAAAAAAGTGAAATGGTGAAGTCTTAATATTAATTTGTTATTTTTGATAAATCATAAATGGTTATAAATCACACATATTAAAGTAGGAAATAAAGCTATAAAATAGAAGGAAAGCCATCACAAATGGGAAGAACTTTTCTCACATATTTTCACACAAAAAAATGCTATTCCAAATAACCATTGGCTATTCTCCTATGTAATCGAACACATAAATGAAATATCAAAGTTTTTGTTTTCTCTTTTTTATTTTCTTAATTTCATTCATGGCCATTCTTTTCTCTTGACTTAGTGGTCTATCCACGGAAGCTTTGATCCAAAATTCTTTTCATTTGTGATCCACATATAATTATGGTCTTTTTGTTGAAAATCTCATCATATGCTTAATTCTACAAAGAACCGATTTGAAGAAGATAAGCGCAGAGATGAATTAAGAAACATAGAAAAGAGAAGACAAAGTCATTGTACGAAGAAGAGAATAAGAAGGAAGGCCGCGTGCATCTCACAATAAGAATGGAGTCACATACACTACACATAAGTGATCAAAATAAAGATTAGTAAACCCAATGGGCCATTAGTTGGAGTAAGGCCCAATATTTATCTGGGTGTCGTTTATTAGTGTTAGTAGAAGAAAGTTGGAAACTAGAGGGAATATTAGGCGAACAATATTTGCATTGGATGACTATTTTTAAAGTTTTAATTAGTACAAAAAGTGGAAAGATTCATATTTTCTTTGAAATCAACTTTCTTAGTTCTGTATATTTAATAAATATATTTTTATTCCTACATAAAACTTTAGAGAAACTCAAAGTTTAATTATTGAACTTGTCAAAATAAGTTTTAGTCTTGGATTTGAGTTTACTTAAGAGGAGAGTGAATAAACCAACACTTTTTGGAAATGGAAACAATGTCTACGGTAGAGAGACGTAGAGTCTAGAGAGTGACATTTAATTTTGGAAATAAATTGGATAGTAATTTATTTTCTTAAATCATTAGATTTATCATAATAAGGATTATATATAGAAGACAAAAACAAAATTATAACAGTGCATGATACATACCATACCATCGTGCATAAGGATTGTATGTGTTTCTATCACTAGTACATAGATACTTTACAAACAAAAAAAAACAGAAAGAAATTTTGAGCTCATTGTTTTGGCATGTCTAAATGATGAGTTGACCAAATTTCTCAATATCCACCTTCATAGTAGTGCATGCATGTATTGTATAAAGTATAAGTCTCGAATGTCGAGTTTTTGAAAGAAGAGAAATCGAGTGCTTTGATAGTGCTTGGGTCAAGATTTTCGCCAATTGAATGCGAGTGGAAACATGAGTGTGGTCAATTTTCCACATATGATTTTATTTTGAAAGAAATGGCATTCGTTGATGTTCTTCATATTCTCATACATATTTGAATGATTGTCGATGTGTTTCACCGACTTCTTTTCATAATCAAATTGGCATAGGTAATCATTAAAAACAAAAGTATACCACCACCCAAAAATATCTAAAATTAAATGTATGGTTGTTATATATATATATTCATTTGTGTTTCCTTTTTATGTAGATATTAAACAGATTCACTCAAGATATATATATGGGATCATAAACAAGTACAATTTGAAGTCACATAATTTATATATAACATGTTTTCTTACGTTGAGACTTGAGGGTATATCAGATGATGTATACATATTAATTTTTAAAAATTTATCAAAACGAATGTTTTACACAACTCTTCTTAAAATCGACCATGAATTTGGCTACAAAACAAAACAAAATCATTTCCTTCCTCCGTTTCGTAATATCAGATGTTTTAGAAAAAAAAAATTGTTTCACAATATAAGATCTTTTTCAAGTTTCTAGGCAAATTATAGATTAATTTAATATTTTATGATTATTTATATTATGCAGTTTTTTTCATGATTGATTGAACTTTTTAAAAGTGGATATTTTTTAAAATACGTGTTTTTAACTAAAACATCTTATATTTTGAAACGTAGAAAGTAGTCATTTATATATCGTCAATATTCCGCTCATTCCAATTATAAATAGTATCAAATAAATATGTCACGATTTGCTGTTTTCTGTTGTTTTTTTCATTTTTCTTATTTTGTCGTCAACATTCTCATGTTTTATACATTGCTTATCCCAACTGTTGATTATATAAAGAAAACTGTCTTGAAGAAATTGCTTTGAATCCTATCAACCACTAGCCAGCATAAATGGGCTTAGATACTGGCATACAATAAATCCAATTTATATGGGATATAAATTAGGTTGTGGATAGCTTCACCAAAAAGCTAAGAATTAAATGAAGATTTTATGGATTACTGGATTATTATTACAACTGGCACTTTGACCTATGATTTATCCACTTTACTTGGAGTTTAGTGCCTTTATATAATAAACTTTGAAATGTGAAATAGCTAGCATGAGTTACCTGCTTTTGACTATTTAACGTAACAGCTGTTCATAGATATGCATGCACCAGTAGAATCTAATTACACACATATCTCTATGAATTTCGAAGATGGTCCCTAATAAGTGATAGCTCTATGTGTGGCAGTCCCAAAAGACGTGGAGTCATTCAGCTATCAAAGCATCATTAATTTGAGAAAATAAATACAACAATTTATACAGTCTCGTTTAAAGTTAAGCAATTTGTCTAATGGTTTTGATCCAACAAGTAAAAACGTCACTCCAAAAAAAAAAAAAAAAAAAAACGTCACTCCATGAGATTGTACGAAAACAAATTAGAGAGTTTTATTAAAGTTTTTAAATTTAGCATCGAGTACTCAAATTTTGTTAACTCGTTCGACTAATTCTGGGGATAAGCAAGTTTTTCAGTATAGAAATATCTGTATTTGTACAAACGTTTTTTTTTGTGAATAAATTTGACATTCATAGAAAAATAAAATCTGTATTTGAGAGTGTTGTATAAGTTTACATTAAGAATTTATGCAATATTAACTTATATTAAAAGAAAACATAAAACATATGAAAATATATATGAATTGTCTAAACATTTACCTTAAAAGTAACCAGAGCAAAGTAATAGTCGCTAGTGCAGTACTTATTTTTCCAACTCAGTAACTTGTGATATATTATGAAGAGAAATTCCTAAAAATAGCCCTAAAACAAGTTTTATTGACAATAATAGCACACTCTATAAACTTCCAAAAATAGCACTAGTTAACTTACTATTAGTATTTTTGTTCTAAAAATTTTATCACTAGTTTTATTTTCAATAATACCACAATTTTTATATAAAAGCTATTCAACAAAATAAATTAGAAATAAATTTAAAATATTATATTTGGGTTCTCTATTTCCAATTTAAGGTATATATTTCCACCATTTAAAAGAGATTTTGATTCATTTTAATATTAGTTTATGGTATTATATTTGGGTTCCCTATTTCCAATTTAGGGTATATATTTCCACCATTTAAAAGAGATTTTTATTTTAATATTCGTTTGTGGTATTATATTTGGGTTCCCTATTTCCAAATTAGGGTATATATTTCCACTATTTAAAAACAATTTTGATTCAATTTAATATTAGATTAGTGTTTGCTCTCTTTTTTATATTCTATCTTATATTTTCATTAAGTTAAATTAAAGTTTATGGTGCTATTTGTGGAACTTTTCAAATGAGGTGCTATTTTTGGAAAAAACAACTTTTTTGGGGCTATTTATGTCAATCTCCCTATTATGAATGATGCAGTGAAACAATTTATAGAATACAAACTTATGATCAATCATATTAACATAATTTTGTGGAGTAACAAACTGATCGCTAAAAAGAAATAGAAAGAATAGATCGATGAAGTTTCATAAGAGGCATTAACCAAAATCAAATTAGTGTGGCATATATATAAAGTTGGTGGTAAACTTAACGCCCTTTTTTGGTCATTTTGAATGTACTAGTTCTATTTGGTGCCAAACAATTGAGATACGATGATTAAACAAAGTACTTAGACAGTGGGGCTTTAGTTTATGCATTTAGGAGTTACCACTAATTAACACTAGACATAATCATTTCAATAGTGATAATATGTAAGAAGAACACATGAGAATCATGTGATATTATGGATTGGAACCTACTGCAATAATAATAATATTCATGATAATTACTAATTAGTCATGAATGAACAAAATTGGAAATGATGCATGAAATGAATAAAACAATCGTAAAATATGAATAAGGTCATTGTCAGGAATAAAGGAGAATAAGAAATCCAAAGTGAGTTGAGTTCGGCGAAAGACTTGGAACTAAGCTGTCGGCTACTCCCCCAAAATCTATCCAGCTCATCTTTGGCCCCCCTAGTTTTACCCTTTTCATTTAAATTCTGCTTTTCTTTTTCAAAATTTCAAAACAATACACTTTGGTTTTGAATGGTGGGTCCGATTGGTAACCAAAAGCTGTACAAGATTTTTAGCTGTTAGCTTTATCGGAATAGTGCAAAGCTGTAAGAAAGAGCTGTACGAGAAAGCTGTACAAAAAAACTGAGAGTAAAACTTTTAGTAACGTTTTTGATAAAGTTTTTGTGATTGGTAACTGTCAAAACTGTACAGAGTGTAAAGCTTTGATAAGTGGTTACCATTCAAACCCGGTAACTCATTATCAAAGTGGTACATGCTGTACAGGTTTGACAGTTACCAATCACAAAAGTTTTATTAAAAGCGTTACCAACAGTTTTACTCTCAGCTTTTTTGTACAACTCTTTCTTACAGTTTTGCACTATTCCGGTAAAGCTTACAGCTCCAGCTAATAGCTAAAAAACTTGTACAGCTTTTGTAAGTTTTTTGCAAGTGCTTTACCTCGAATTCACTATATAACGTTATGATTTAGTTTTGATTATAGGTTAATAGTGACAAGTTAAATTTAATGGGTTTGATTGGTGAACAAAAATAAAGTATTACAAATTGTACAGTTTTTATTTTTACCAATCACAAAAACTTTATCAAAAGCGTTACTAAAAGTTTTACTCTCAGCTTTTTTGTACAGCTTTCTCGTACAGCTCTTTGATACAGTTTTGCACTATTCCGGTAAAGCTTACAGCTCCAGCTAACAGCTAAAAAACTTGTACAGTTTTTGGTTACCAATCAGACCCAATATTTGGTAGTTTTTTTAGACCGATCAACAACTAACTAATCTCACCATAGAATTTCTGCATAGATTTTTAGAGTGATTTTTAGACCGATCTAAAAAATCGTGAGAGATTTTCCGCATAAATTTTTAGAGTGATTTCTTTGTTTATCGTGTTTGGTTAAATTGAATGGTTCTCATAAGAGACTCTTACTAATTTTAATTTTATTATAAAATCTCAAAGCATGGACTGAATTAATGAGAAAGGTACATAGCTAATTAATGTTATCTCTATCAAACGTGTTGATTCATGGGAAAGAAAAAGAGAGAAGCCTACTAAGGCTGATTACTTTAGATTTTTATTTTTGTAAAGACAAAAATATGACGTTGCCGACTTGCCGTATCTCAGTGGTAATTGATTACCAGTGAACTCTGCTCAATTTCATCATCATGTGTCATTGTCTTCATTTGCATCATGTGTTTTTGTTGGCTCAGTCATTGCATCTCTCCCTAAATCCGTCACTTGTATCTATCTCTCCTCTTTAACTTCTAATAAAGACGACCACTTTCTATCATCTTATGTGATATCTATTTTCAATTTCGGTTTGTCTTATTAGTTATTAGGATATACTGACACTACAATAGACCACAACTCAAGCAATAACATTCTTGTTTGTCTTTCGATTTGATCTTTTCATGAAGTTTTATTTTCGGCAAGAAAATCTAATCGTAAGATTTTTTAGATATTATACCAAAACCAATAGAATCATGTGTTAATTTTTTTAAAAAATAGATGTGTTTATTCTCAAATTGTATATAGATATATGTTTACAGTTTATGCATGCTATGCTCGTCCTGAAAACATTTGCATGGAGCTCATTTTAAAAAAGAAATTCTGCTTGTAATGGAAAAAGAGAAAGATATAACCTGGAAAAATTCTTAGCAAAAAAAAATATAACGTGGAAAAAGGATCACAAATTTAAATGGCCTCCAAGTCTCCAACAAATTTTAAAACATTAGTTAAGTTTCTTCAATGCATTTAATAAAAAAAAATTCCTGCTTACCATACCTATTATTGAAAATCCGAAAAAAATAAGCACACAAACCATATAAAAATTGACAAAAAAATAAAATTATAGGTTCAAATTTAAAATAGTAAAACAAAAGATATAATTTAATTACCAAACTACAAAGAAAAATGAATCTTAATTTTGAAAATAACTAGGGTTTTATTATTTACTATGTACGGGATTGATCGCAAAAGAAAAATCAAATAGAAAATACAGTTCCGAGGGAAAAAAACCCACAGTAGTACTTTATTATCAACAATTTTCGTACAGGTTTTGTTAAAAAAATTATCATTTTGTTGTTCTCCATTTTTTATTGTTTATATTTATTTTTGTCAACCTAATTCATTTTCTTTATATATGAGTAAATTTTTTATAAGTAGTTTAACAATGAAAATATTTACAGAAAAAAACCATTAAAAGCTGGATAAGTTTGTTAATAACAAAAGAAAAGAAAGGTTTGTTAATAACAAATTATATTAACCATATAATATACAAGCTTTTAATTATCATAGTACATTCATTTATACATAGTTCTAGAGCCTTAATAAAGATTGAGAACTTTGCTTCTGACAGATGTCCTTCTACAAGGACCCACAATATCCCAGATTCATTTACACCGTCCGATCAAACATCCAACGATCATCACAATCATACACAGCTCCAAAACCATACGCACGACCGTAGAAAAATATTCACTTTCTCACGGCGATAATCTGCTACACTCAGCTTTACTAAAACCAACTCTCCTATTGGCTACATCAAACTCAACCCAAAGATTCTGCTGATGGACGTTCCCGATTATATTACTAGCTGCACCAAGCATGCTTGACCGTCCGATTCCAACACAGTGAATCCCACCTCCAACGTTAACCAAAAGCCTTTGTTTCTCAACGAGAATCTCAACACCTCTCCCAAACTCAAACACAAGATCTCCTATCAACCGTCCGATCACCATCGGATGGTTACCATCGAAACACATGTCAGCTGTTGAACCGTACACGTAACCTTTCTTTAATCTTGATCCCACAAGCCTCACTATTTCTTCTTTGACTTTATCATACGCCACGTCGACTAAGTGAGTAAATTCGGAACCTGAATCCACCATGGTTTGACCCGACCCGCCTGCATCGGGTCTAAAAACAGAACCGGGTATGTTGAGTCTCTTTTGTCCGATTCTGATACCAAGCAAAGGTACTGTGTAAGCTAGAGGGTCTAGATTCGGCATGCTTTGACTTTGAGGAAAAGTCAAAAGTGAAACGTATTTGAAACCACGAGAATTCGGGTTATCTCCAAGGTAAAAAGAACCGGTTGAGGCTAAACTGGGTTGGTTTGACCGGGTTGGGATACAATAAGAGAATTTAGATATCTTTGCTTGTGAGATAAAAGAAAGACGACCAAGATTCATTCCCAAAATACCCTTCTCGTCTGTTGACTCTTTAGCGCAACCAAGTATCAAAGGAGGGGTAATTTGGGAATTTGAGAAAGTGAATTTTTCTTTGACGAGATTGCCCTCAGCGAAGGTTCCATCAGCGTAGAAGTAAGAATAGTGACAGAGACGGTTTGCGTCACAAGAAGTGGGAAGGGTAAAATCGGGAATTCGTGGTTTACAAAGAGGATGAGAGCAAGGTAAGTCGGAGAACGATGAAGATAAAGAAGGATCAAACGACGTCGTTGGAGGAGGAAGTGGTTTCTTGATTTTCTTGGGATGACACTGGATCCATGAGAGTTGGCTTCCGGTGTCAAGAACAAGCTCTTGTGACTGAGATGGTGTTCCTATGGGAAGAGAGAGGATTAGAGCCATAGAGTATTTGAAGTTTGATCGGAAAGTGTACGGAGACGACGACGGAGATGGGTTCCGGCGAGAGAGGAGGGAGGTTTTGAAGGAGGAGGAGTTTGTGGTTGGAGTGAGACGAAGAGTTGTGAGAGGAAAATGGAGAGAAAGAGACGATGACCATGATAAAGAAACTGAGTTGCAGAAGAAGAAGAAGAAGATATAGAGAAGTTTTGAAATGTGAGACATTTTTGTGAGAGTGAGAGTGAGTGAGGAGAGAGGTAGATTATGGGAGAGTGAATTATATATAGCCATTACACACGCGTACGAGTATTAAAAAAAGAGAAGATAAAAAAGATTAGAGAAATTGAGGGAGATTGTGCAACTAATTTAAAGTGGTTAGCTTCGTATGATTTGTTTTATCGTCTGTTTTTTGTATAATACAGTATATGGTTTTAAGATAGTATTTGTGTCGGTTGGTAAATGCATGGATAAGGCTAGGAAATATAACTAAGTTTTTGCTTCTATTTTTTTTTTGTAGTTTTGGATTGGATTTGGACTAATTATTGGGTGATTAGATAGCAATTAAGAGGGTTCAGCTCAGCGACTTAGGTCTTTTAAATTAGCTTTCAACGACCTATTTTTCAGAATAAAGGATTAGCTAAACTAAAATCTTCCTTGTATACTAGCAAGTCTAGATTACTACATGTTAATGGTTTGGTACTCAAATTTTGTATCCGCTCGATTGGATTTGTTTATAGTATTTAGGGAAAATGGTGCGGTTGAAATCGTTTTAGAGATTAATAGATTGGTTTTCTAATAATCAAAAACCAAAAACTATGTTAGAATCCTTGTTTAAAAAATCGGTATGCGCTAGTCGGACGTTCAGTATACGCCTAGCAATTAATCGGAAAATCGGATTAAAATCGGGGATTAATCAGAACTAGTTTTAGAATCTACAAACAATCAATACAACTTTTATAGAAAACACCTTTCATTTAACATTTGAAAAATGATAAATGGCATGAATATTAAAAAGAAAGTAGTTTAAATTCAAATACTAAATGAACAATTTTCTTTTAAGTATGAAAAAATAAATTAGATCAAACCTTCTGTTTTGTAACATATAAAACTATAAAACTTTGTGGTTAATCTTTTTAATTGTTTAGCCACCTTGCGTTGGATATCAAAATCGTTTCTCATCTTTGTATTCCTCCTTCGTATCATATATAAGTTCAGACGAAAAAAGACAAATCTTTTTAATGGTTTATAACATTCATTTAGATTTCAAAACCTTGTCTTGAAACTCCTGTTTGATTGGTAAACAAACGAACAATCCATAGTTAGCAATCATATCCAATAATTAATCTAAAACTGATGTACTTATAAGTTATGTTGAGTGGTTTCTGTTGCTTCTTTTTCACGTTCATTTCGATAAACAAAAAATAATATTCGTCGTAGAGGAACAATAGAATGGCCCATGAAGCAGTTGACACGTAGTCAAAGGTGTTAAAGAGAACGACAGAGATACTGAGAGTGATATAAAGCGAAATTCTGGAACGCGTTTTCTCTTCGATTTCAGACAAAATGGTCTTCGTTTTTTAGACTTTGGTTTGGTGAAATTTATATTTGATATTTATATATTTGGTAATTGATTTTTGTTCATACTGTTCAAGAGTCAATATTACATGTGTAGATTCGACAACTTTCACGTAATGGCTAAGAAGAGCATTGTTTTTATGGAAAGTCGTACTAGCTACCACCTTAAACCATTAATAGAATAAAATTCTATAGTTGTAGAATACAAACCAATTAAGAAAGTCGATAAAAATGACAAAATTATTCATATTTTGTGAATATGAAAATAAAAAGCACCATTAAAATATCAAATGAAGAGATATGTTTGGTTAGGTGGAGTGGAGCACCATTATATTCTTTTTAAAAAGTATATAATTTAACTTCATTTTTTTAAACTTTCTTTTGTATAGTTATTTTTTCCCTTTTCTTATATATATACTATTCAAAATGTTTAAACCACCAAATTACAATTAATCATTACATTTGTTAGTTGTTTAAAAGGTGACTTTATCTAGAAATGATCTATTAAACAATTTTAGTCTCATATATATGACGCGTTGATGCAATTATATGGCTCAAACTTTTTTTTTATTCGAAAGATTTGGATACTTTAGATTTTAGAATATATATTTTTTCGTTTTCTTACTTACATCAATGCCATAGATGATTTTTTTATTTCTTTTTGTTTTCTAGCTTAAGAATTAACTATTAATAATGTTTTAATTTCAAAAGCGATGATAAAACTAAAATTTAAAGTTCTTTACTTTATTTTGCAGTTATTTTAAAACTAAATTAAGCACAAAAACTTAGATGTATTATTGGTATTAATCTTTAAGTATGATACAAAGATATTCTAAAAGTGCATGACTCAAAGAAAAATGTTGTGTTTTGCCTTATTTGCAAAGTTAGCAAATAAGGCAAAACACAACATTATATATCAGAGTTAAAACTAACTTTGTAAATTTAAAAATTAAATAAAAACTTATTTCAATCGTCTCAGTATTCATTTAATCTCCTTTATAAAATTATATTATTGGAGCTATAAAATTTCTATGAATGTAAAATCAGAAAAAAACTTACCCATACAATGATACAAAATAAATATATTACAAATATCATCTACTTCCATTCATAAGTTCAAGAGCTTGTATATATGATATTTGTATTATTTTGAAATACATACTTTTTAGAATCAATTAGGCTGGTTAAGCACATTTTGTAATCCTATTACAACCTCTTCATTTTTAATGAAATTCAAATTCTAAAAAAAAAAAAAAAGAAGTCATCATTTTCCGCCGGATGACATAAATTGGTGTACAAAAAAGAGATTCATTTGCGATGACAAAAAAAAAAAAAAAAAAAAGAGATTCATTTGCAAGTGACGTTGACAACATAACATAAAGTCATCAACTTATTTTGGACCCCCCATTTCTATTTTTTCCTGAAGGGAAAAAAATAATATCTCTTATGTAAAATATATAAGGCATGAACGATCATTAACTAGTTGTTTGAAGAGTACACTGTACACAATACACTCAACAACTTTTTTTTTTTTTGATAAACCCTATCGGCTGATCCGGTCAGCCCCGGTAGAAACGCACCGAAGTGCTTCAGAGTGGACTTCTCCCCGAAGGGCCACCACACTGTCTGTCCCGAGTTTGGAATGCTTTCCCACACATATGTGATTTTTGTTTCCAGGATGGATCGAACTTGGGTTAGTTCCTTCCAACCTATCCCCAGTTCTCCCTTACCACTAGACCACATACGTCTGGGACACTCAACAACTTTAAACTTATGAAAAAATGGATGGAAAAAGAAACAAGGCTTGGCAATTATGCATGTTGAAAAAATCTTGTGTTAAGGAATAATTTCAAGTTTTTGATTAGTCTGTAGTTATAGCCTTTACGTTAAACGGACCCAAAAGTTTTTTTACAAAATATTCATGACATTATTATTTCAGATAATCAGATAGGTATTGGAGTTTTGATGCGTAGAAAAACTAGAGATCATATACCTAAATGCATGTAACGTCATCAATATCGTATTAACTTTGTTTCGAAAATTATGGTCTCTATGCATATCCATAAATGCATGTAACGTCATCAAAATGAAACTGTGATGTTACAATAAGTGATGTAATAAAAGGTACTAATACTCAGTATCGAGTAAGTGAGGAAAAGATACAGTATGATGATCTCTTGAAGTATTATACAAATTTTTCAAAATTTCTAATTTAACAAACTGACCAAAAACTATGGACCATGACTAGTTGTGACGGCCTATAGAGTTCAAATACGATCAATTCAACATGTCATATAACTTAAATCATGTTAGATTTTCCAAATGTACATTTATATTGTACATACATGTAACTCAGTCAGTTTCAAGAAAAAAAAATTCAGTAAACTTGAACTTGCTGGTTACAAGAAAATATTCTACATATATAAATAGAGTTTGTACGAAACAACCCTCCAACTCGTCCATTTTTATAACTTTACCTTTCATTTTCGAAAAATTCAGATTAATTCTACGAAGTCCAACATAATACGCAATGTAACATTTATTCGCTACCGTCAAGTTCGTAAAATTTTGATAAATAATATGTCAAATCAAAGCCCTCGCGATGAAGAGTTCAACTCTACTGTTAGAATTTTAAAAAATTAATGTATGTGACTGAAAATAACGTTTATAGTATACATATAAGGGTTATATTACGTATTATTTTGGATTTCGTATAATTAATCTGCAGTTTTCGAAAAAAAAATATAATTGCAAAAATGGGCAAGTTGGAGGATTTTTTCGCACAAAATAATATAAATATCATATATTGGTTTGAAAAGTGTTGGTTCCGTTGGTTTTATATATAATATATCAAACTTTATTCCTCTTTTCTTATTCCTATATACGTTTAATACATTTTAGAATCTTCTTGTTCAACTCGGTCCCATGCTTCCTTTTTGATTTTTTATAAAGGTTGGAGCTTCTCTTGTGTATTTGGCTGGTGATGTTGTTCGTGGTGGTAGTGGTGGATCTGGTTTTTTTATAAACCGGAACACGATCGTTACAACTTATAACGTTTTGCTCAAATTGCGTGCACCATATTATATAGGGAAAGAGGTTAGCACTGATAATATATATTTATGTTTTCGTTTTCTGTTGTGTGTTTTACAATATTGATTATTTTCTTAACTTGCAGATTGTTGTTACTCTCTATACTGGCGCAATAGTGATCGGGATAATATCTTCGTATGATAGTGATCGGGATCTTTGTTTAATCAACATTCACGATTCAAAAATAGAAGGTATAAATATCACCTGGTCAAAATTTAGTTCTGACCAACCCAAACAAGGGCAATTGGTGGGTGCTTTAGGTGCACCGTTACTTCTCCCGAATTCATTCTCCATGGGAGCAATAAGGTAATTTTCTTTAATGTATAATTTTTTATCCTCCCAAAATTTAGTAATTTGAAATTTTTTTGCTGGTAGTTACGTAAACCGCCTTATTGAAGACATTGATAATCCATTTAGAGACCCTTATACTAATGAGGATGGACTTATTCCTCCAAACCAGCCTCGCAAATTTCTTTACATTCAAACTGACATGATTATTGATGAGGTAATCCTTTAATATCCAAGATTTAATGGTATTTTAATATTTTCTAAAACTTTATTGGTATTTTTGGTTTTTGTTAATCAAG